TGGCATTGTCTCGACAATAACTACAAATAGAAATACGTTTGATTTCAATATCGATGATCATAATTATTTTCCGCTACTTGAGAGAGATCGCCATGCTTCGATGCCTTCGACAACAAACTCATCAAGCCCAGCCACTGTTCGTTGTTGTGCTGGTTTGTTGCTTTCGATTATATCGTACAATTTACTCTTTCCTAAACTCTCAAACCCAGTTTCGTCACAGTGCTTCTTGTAATCTACAAGAGTATGTGACCGTTGTGACTGTATAATTTGTTTCGGCAGTTCGAACTTTTCTCTATTATCCATACGTAAAGTGGTGAGACCGTATGTGCCTGCCAACAAAAAAAAAGATGAATACGAAAGAAGCATGACGAATAAATTAGACTCTACCAGAGACAAGTGTGTTACTTTCAACAAGCCAGCTAACAAAGTGTTTGATCTTTTCGGGATCAGCACGTTGTCGGATGGTCAGTTCTTGGTCCTTATTTAACAAGTACTCTTGATCGTCAGACATTTGATGTGCTGCTATGACAGCATGTCGGGTACACCCAAATATATTAATTACTTTTTCATATTTCCATGAACGAGCTAATAATGAAAGAAGTCGAATTTGCTCGATAAAAGGCATCTTCTGGTTGACATAGATGTCATAGATCTGTTTGAGACTTTGAACCATTTCATTACTCATTGATAGTTGCAATTGTTGTTCTTCTCTAGCTTGTGATTGCAGCTGAGCTATTTGAATTAGTTCTTGACCTTGGCCAAGCACAAGTGTCTCAGCCAGTTTCTCTAAATTAATTTAATTACCTAAATATTGAGCTTAAATTTCCTTTGATTCATAATTTACCTTGAAGAGCTCTTGTCCCTCGTGTGAATTTGGACACTAAACGACGAAGGCCATTTTTTAACTGGTTTGTAATTAATTTAGTTGTTTGAGATCGAATTGGACTTAAATACACTTCCGCTAGAATGCGATTCATTGTTTCTCGTGGATCATCGATCACGAACGCAGATCCAGCTGTGTGTTGAGAAGCTACACTAATAGAAACGGCATCATTCATCATCGATGCGCTATTGTCGCCCAATAATACCAGCTTTCGGTGTTTTGAACACAATCTTAAATCGCAACTTGATAACTCATTTAGGTTAGCGCTGAATGAGAACAAATTTACCTGCCCCCTAATGGAAAACCTTCAATCTTGAGGCAAGTGGTGAGCTTCGCTTTTCAACAGTCTTTCATTGATGAATTGTAGCTTGACTCGTGCTCCGGATGGTTACACGTCGTGCCTTTATTAAACCAATCGATACCAAAAGAACCTCGATGCTTGGGACAAATTTTCATACTATCGTCGACAAGGATGTTTTTCCGAAGCAATCGGTTGGCGATTAAGTTTTTTTCATTTATAACAATATTGTCGTCTTTCTTTTCAGAAATGATTCCGTTCTGTTTTAAGTACTATCGAATATCAAACCCAGAGAGATGAGCAAGAGTAACACATTCTCGCGACCGTCCATGATGATCTATTTGATAGAAGCAAACATGTACCTCTGAATTCATTAATATGTAAAACTCATGGTGTGCAGTTGATCCACACTCCTGTATTGTCTTATCGCCGAAAAGGCAACATTTATTATAGCTGATATTCTCTGGAATTTCCACGTTGACCGTGGTGTTGGGTTGTGTTTCCACCTCATCGATCGCCATATCATTTAAAAATAGCTCAATTCTATGTTAACTCAAAGTTATAATTAATACAAACCATATGATTCGTTTTTTTCATGACGTCGTTCATTGTCAATGTTAGAATGAATTGACACATATGGTGTGAACATATCTTCCGGACGACTGTAAGGGGTTGAATTGTAATCCCACTCAGAAATCTTGTTCGTATTATAATCATTGCTCTTAGTGAGACAAAACGGACCAGTATATACATCATCCATGAAAGAGTTATGTGATACTGTCTTTTCAGTTGACGCACTGCTAACTTTGTTGTCAGGACGAGTACCATAATAACTAGATAGACTCTCTTTGTCCACCGAAAGAGCTTCGCTTCGAAGTGTTCGTGTCTCATCATCAGTTAAACGACTCACATTACTTGTTTGATACTCAAACGTGCTCGGAGCCGTAGAAATCGAAGTTGTATCAGACCACGTGAAGCTTGAGGACGTACTCATGTAAGAGAAAGTACGAGGCATGTGTGAGACAGACGAACAGTCGCTGTCTTTGTCGGATGTCATAGAACAACTTGACGCTGCAAATATTCTCGATGCTCCATCGCTGTCTGTACTTGAATCTGCATAGTTTCGTGATAGTAAATACGGTGGCAAACCACGACCAGGTTGATAGAGAGAAGCATCTTGACCAGCCATATTTTATGAATAGTATTTTCTTTTTGAATTACCCTTTATATACTGCGGCGTATTCACGTAATCTTCTCTGTATTATTCAACAATAAGAATACAAATTTATCTTTTCGAAGAGTTCGTATAACAGTCAGTTTATATGTTCAAAATAAAACAACATTTTTTGTACCTTTTGTTGAATTTTTTATCTCTTGTTTTCCTAATGCGTTCTTACTCAATGCATTATGAACAATACAACATACAATATCTCATTGTACTGTAAAAAGAGAAGAAAGAAGAAAGTTCATGGTGTTGCTTGAGCAAAGGTCTTTTTCTCCTTTTGAGTATACGTGAATATTATGCCTATATTTTGTCGTTCTGTCTAGTTCATTTATTCATGCTTCGATAAAGCGTCTTACTATTATAGTACGCAAAACGAGCATAACGTAAAACAACAATCATATTAGTATTAAGTGGTATATGTTAATCTTGTCTTGCAACAAGATAACTTAATAGTCAGTTACGAAATAAAAATAATCAAGTAATATATTTTTCGTCATTTACTATTCTTCTGCTGACAGAATTGATATATGATTCATATGTTCAAACTTTTGAATGAAAAAAAAGGTTTTTTTTAAGTGACGATTTATAATACTAATCTTATAAAATAAACCATAATAACAATACCAATCTAAAAAAAGTTCAATGATTGATTTAAACTATTTAGAAAATTCAGAACGGGTCAGCTTGGGATTGATCTATTATAGCTCTTAGTTTCGTTCTTCACAGATGTATTACGAAAATTTTGAAACATCATCAAAGTCTTCAACTCATCAGCCCACTATGAAAACTCCAGTTAATCTGCTTGATCCTTTTACACTTGATCTTCACACATCTATCACAAGATTTCTTTCTTTTTTTTCTCTCATGCCTTTAATAAGTTAAAATTTACCTATCCTTCTTCGTACGATATGCAGTTTTCATCATCAAACAATGCTGTCAGTGGAAATCTCTAAACTCTCTTCACCTTACAGTGCGTCCATGATCCTTGTTTCACTTGTAATACCTACTAATTCCTATACTTTTTATCTTATGCATAATCTATCGGAGGGCAACAAAAATCAATTACTTAATTTTATGAGACACCGAGAACATGTCTTCATCCATTTTCTCAATAAAATTGATACTTTCTATGATGTACCCTACCAATTCTTCAAAAGCATTGGTCTGCTCAAGTATGACATACTATTGACGCATTATAGATCAGAGAGAAAAACCTTTCAAGATTCTTCGAACCCTTGGATTTTGCCTTGGTCAGAAGGAAGTTTCTTGAGGGCTGAAAAATAACTGAAAGCACTCTAAACAAAATAAACTAGCTGTGAGAAAAGTTTTAGTTCGATCGGATTGAGCGTAAAAGAAACCATAGCAGAAAAATGACTAGGTTCATTTTCATCCAATACTATTCAAGTAACCCATGGATCCAAGCATTATGGAAACTTGACTGCAACACATGTTTTACTTCATAATCTGAGCTCTGTTATCCCTGAAAGTTTCAACTTTCTTGGACGAACCATTCACGAGATATTCGAAAAAGTTAGGGTGTCAAACATGAAATTCGTAAAAATTCATTTTTTGCAAAAAGATCGATTAATTTCACCACGGCTTGTGTGCGTCCCAAGCTGATTTTTATGCCAGATTGTAGACCAAAGTGAGGTCTTTCATGCTGTATAGGTGAGTAAAAAAAGTTGGCGTTTGTTTTGGGAGAATATCGAGGTCAAAAATCCACTTTTTGACAAAAAATTGTTTTTTTTTTAAGTTGCTCTGCAGGAATACTTTGCTCTAGAGAGTTGAAATTCATATGGTAGTTAGGTAGCATCAAGATATGCTTGTGTTCAAAGTTTCAGGTCCATATCATTTTCTAATCGGGAGATATGAGCAGCGAAAATTGGTCAAAAAAGTAATTTTTCCTCGAATTGTGGAATCCATAAAATACCAACCACTCATTTGTTTGAGCTGAAATTTATGGTACATGTAGAACTTAGTTAGATATTAATGTACAAAAAAATTTCAATTCAAACGATTGATGTTTTGTTGATTTTCTGGAGTGTCCAAAATCGTCCCTCGTGAAAGTGCGTTTTATAGCGATTCATAGTGCTTTCAGTAAAACTGCGATAAAAAACGAACAATTCAATATTTTTCGAAGCGACTTTCACCAAAAGTTATCAAACACTTGCCTCTATCACATATGTAAAAATGAGCCAAATCGGAGAATATCGATTGAGCACTTTCGGTCGTGGCTTACGTGGAATGGCTCATATATAACTGGTTCAAAAAATGGTTAGTGAAGAAGAATATATTTTCACAATAACATTGTCTTCTTTAGGGTCAAAAATACAATAACGAGCAAGAATGAATAACATGACAATAACAAACAACAATTAATTGGAATCCTTACTACAACTATCTCATTTCGATTCAATTCGAAAAGATAAATGAATGAATTTTTGGCAATTTATCAATCAAATCAATACATGTCATCATCACTACAAGCAATGAATTATATTTCAACTTTTATTGATAAATAAGTTTCGTTTTTCTTTCTTCTTAAATAATGAATTTTCTAATTTCGACTGCAATAGATATGATTATAATTTTAGATGATATTCAATAGAAGTGTTTATCTTATCATCTTTCGACGTTTTGCTGTTATTCACCATACAAATATTTTAGCATTTTTCACATCATCTGTGTTGATAAATTTAGGTGAATCAATGAAAAAACTTATAGATAAACAAAAATATCAAGAAGCTTTAGATCTTTTTAATCATAATTCAACATCTATATCAGATGTTGCTATCAGTTTAGCTTTAAAAGCTTGTAGGAAATTAAAAAATCTTGAATATGGTAGAAATATTCATCAACAACTTTCACCTGAAAAGATTAACAATTCATTGATAAACACATCATTGATTCATTTATATAGTAAGTAATTATTCTTTTTAATCAAATAAATGCAAAATGATTTTCAATGCGCCTACTATATGTATTTTATTATTAAAAAAACTATTATTAGAATATTTTTTTAGTATTAAAGATCGTCTTAGGTTGATTAATTGACCTAGGAAAACATTGAACCTAAGTTAAGAAAGTATTCTTAAGTTACATTACAAAAAACTGATTCATGAAACACAATGATTCACTTCTATCTGATTCCTAAACATAAGTGAAGCACTGAGGAATATGTTGAAATTGTATTGATATTTGCCCATATAATATTTTCAAATTGATCTATTTTTCTGTTATATTTACTTTCTGTTTTTATTTGATATCTAGTGACTTGTGGCGATGAAGATAATGCATGTCGTATATTTTGTGAAACTAAAAATAAAACACCAAGTGCATATGGTGTTATGTTTAAAGGTAATTATTAATTTTTTCAAATGAATAATAGAATCAATTTTGTGATTGACTATATCTATCATTAATAGATCGTCTTGTTCATACTATTCATCTTTAGTATTAGCAGAAACTTTAGTAGTTATTTATCGTGAAACCTATTCCTATCATATTTCAATCCTTTGTAGTAGAAATTCAGACAAAATAACGCAGAAGATTGAAACGCAACTCTGATTTTCCTCATATCGTTTATTCGATTTACAAAACATGATAATGATCTTATTTTTTTTAATATTGTTCATTTATTATTTCCAAAAGAAATAACTGTTAATTTCGAAGTTCAAATATAATTCTTTTCTCAATATTTGTGCATTGATTGAGAATAAAATCTTTTTTTTATATTAGGGTTCTTGACAAATAAAAAACCTTGAAAAATTTTCGAATTATTCGATGAAATGACAATAGAACCAGATAGTACCAATTTAGTCATGCTTTTCAATGCATGTGCTCAATTACGTAATGAACGTGCATTAAAAATTAAGAATAGTTTTCTTAATCAAATGTCAAAACTATTTAATAGTACTAATCATGTAGTTAATTCATTTTTAAATATATTAATAAAATTTCGTGATATATCAAGTGCAGAAAATGTATTTGTTCAAATGAAGACCAAAGAGATTATTACTTGTGGTATAATAATGCAAGGTAATTGATTGTAATGTAATCTTACATTTACAATCATTCTTAATGCATGTTCACAAATTGTCTTGTTATCAATATGTGAACCAATCGTTGAAAAAATTCCTTCTTATTTTTTAAATCATCATCGTGTACAAACAAAATTGATTGATATGTGGATGCGTCGATATCAATGATTATAAAGAAACATTTTCTTTTTATTTTACTATTTTTAGAGGGAAAAGTTGGTTATGTTGGTAAAGCATTAAACATATTTGATCATGTTGAAAAACCTAATATAATGATTTATACAGCTATGAGTAACTAATTTATCTTGTTCGAATCTTGTCATTTTAATGAGAAATCTTTTTAAGTTAATTCATTTGGACTTAATGGAATGGGTCATGAAGCTGTTGATTTGTATCGACGAATGCCTATTGATATTCATGATGAAGTTACTTATATTTGTATATTGAATGCATGTTCTCATTCGGGTCTTATTGATGAAGCTCATTCTATTTATAATAACATTAAAGTCAAAACAGAAAGAATTACTACCGCTATGGTAGGTTTAACTATTGTTTTTGTCTTATGGGGCAATCTAGTATAATATTAGATCAGTTTTAGACAAACATTTTATTTAACATTAGACTTCAATGAAAATATATTTCTTGTATTGCGTGTGTTTATTTTGATAGAACTCAATTGTAACATTATTGTTCCTATCTTAATGAAAAAGATGTGATCAAATTCGTATTTATACCTACAATAAAATCATTTTATGTGCAGCAAGATGATATATTCTATCTAGGATAATCTTTAAGGCATTTGATAAATTCATATTTTCGAAAGCGGCTTGTCCAAACGTAAAGCTGTGACATTTTTGACTCACTTTTTTCAATTATGTCCGAAACTATGGGAGCTAGAAAGTTCGTTCAAACGGCATTCAACACCGCTTATCGTGCTCTATTCATGCCATAAAAACGACGTTTTTTGGTTAAATTCTCGAGCTTGTAGAAGAGGCTTTTGATTGTGTAATGTTGTGACATAAAAAGACCCTTGCTTCTTCCAGGCCTCTTATAAAACCCCAATCCCTTGTGAAACTATTTCTCCAAATGAAACCCTTATAGAGCCAGTTTTGTATAGCTTTGAACGGACTTCTAAACGCTAAATTTTGTTTTTCTCTAAACTATTTTTGCTTATATAACAAAATGCAAAAAACAAACGCAATGCTGTGACACAGTTTTTTGTCAATCAAGTGCTCAGATATGTTTGATTTTCATAAATGTTGGTCATTGCCGTATATATAATTGTTCTACGCAAGGATCCCATCGATACATCAATATAGGAGCTCATAAACTATGCAGTAAGTTAGGAACTGTATAAGAGTCTAGACGTTGTCTTTAGCTACAAAAGTCAAAAAACTAAATAAACCATTTTGTAGAGAGTGAAATTCTGCATCGAATGGTATGTCTTTCGACATTTTTTGAAAAAGTTTCGTGGTTAAAAAATTCAAAATACGATTTTTGAAAAGTATAAAACCCGATTTTCGATGTCAAAATTTAATTTTTTTTTTACAAAATAAATATCAAATTCGTAATCAATGTTAAAAACTGCATATAGTAACTCATTCAAATCTATTCAACTCGAAAAAAAATTTTCAAAACTTAATCAGCGAAGTGTCGCGTTACGTGGACAAGCCAAAAGAAGAAATTGATTTATCTTCAAATTTTAAACAATAGTTTGCAATAAATATCGATCTGATCAGAGCTTTTTAATTCTTAAATACGAGAAACAATGTCAAAGTTGAGTATTAGCAAAAGAAAATTACAATATTAGAAAGCTATCGTCATTTAAATAATCCTAAAACTAGACAATTAAAAGATTTTGGACAACCATTTGTGATCGATTAAATGAGCAATATCTGAATTAAAAACAATATAATATTATAGAATATTCTCTCGATCATATTATTATTTAATGAAACAATTTAGGTAGATTGTATGAGTCGTATGTTTATGTTTGATGAAGCTCAACAATTAATTGATAATTTTGAATTATCTCATCCACCTGGTTTTGCCATGTATAGTAAGTATTTTGATAACTGTTTTGGTTCATATAATAAATAATTATTTTGGTATTTTTCTCTTTCAGTGGCATTATTATCCAGTGCACGGAATCATCGAAATTTTATTTATCAGAAAAAGTATTAGATCGAATGAAAAAGCTGTTTCCGAAAAACAAACAACACTAGTCGATGATCTTGCCCCACTTCTTGCCAGATTCTTGTTTTTCTTGGCTATCAGACAAGATTCTTTTCAATCATAATGTTCAGGCAAGATTCATTTCGAGAGGAAAGAAAAAAGATTCTTACAAGAAGTTCAAGGTGAAGAGAATCTTGTCTGATTACTAAGAAGTAAAACAATCAGACAAGAATGACTACACTAATCGACGATCTTGCCCTATTCTTTCCAGGTTCTTGTTTTTCTTTACTTTCAGACAAGATTCCTGTATTCAGGCAAGATTCTTTTCGACAGGAAAGTAAAAAGAATCTTGTCTGAATTTCAAGATGACAAGAATCTCGTCTGATTAATCAGAAATAAAAGAATCAGGCAAGAATTATAAGATATTCAAGATATATTTAACGTTCAGACAAGATTCTTGTTAAAAGAAAAGATAAAGAATCTTGTCTGAAGTTCAAGATCAAAAGAATCTTGTCTGAAAATTATGAAAAAACAGAAACTGGAAAGAAATATAAGATATTTTAAATTTCTTAGTATTCAGACAAGATTCTTATGATAGAAAAGAAAAAGATTCTTGCCAGCTTTTCAAGATCAACAGCACGTGATATCGTCTTTGTATGATCAAATATATAAAGGCAATGTCTGAACGTTATTTATTCATTATTTCAATTGGATGTATAGAAAAAGTTTCCATTCGATATCGAGAAAACAGTGGAATATATGATATCTTTTTTTCCTTTGTTTTCAGAAAACTTACACTTATTAAACACATTTCGATATTTTACCAATCCACATCTTTCTATTTTATTTTTTTTAGATTTTCTTTCATTATCCACAAAAGTGTTTTTTTAATGGACGAAGGAAATATCGATTTTATCAAAAAATTATTGTTTGATAATGTTCTTGGTAGTATAGGTAATATCTATATGCACTTTATATCTTTTTGATTAAAATACTATCTTTTTTAGAGTCATCACCACATACAGATAAACAACGTCGATGGCGTGCTAAGAAAAAAGATCAACATCATCGTACTCAATTATCTCTACGTCATTTACTAGTTGAACAAATTGTAAATAACTTATTCTAATCGAGCTAGCTCAACACACAACGATGATGAAGTTTGAAAAAATAAGTATTTTTTTTGATAATTAAAATTTTGTTTTTTTTGTATTAAAAACTGAAACTGCTTTAATAACATGTGAAATTAAAAGTATTTTTTTGTTTTTTTTTACATTTTTTTGTACATGGTGTGCAAAGCTTATAATAAAATGATATGAAAAAGAGAGTAATAAGAACCTACAAAAGGCTTTTTTAATGTGACCAGAATCAGGCAAGAAACACAAGAAATAAGAAACAGACAAGAATCTTAGAAAAAAAAGAATCAGGCAAGAACATCAAGAAAAATAAGAATCAGACAAGAATTCAAGAAAAGCAAGAATCAGACAAGAAAGCAAGAATACAAGAATCTTGTCTGGAGAAGAACTTCTTGCCTCACCAGCCAAGATTCGGTCTACACGAATCTTGTCAGAAAGGCAAGATCAGTCTTTTCAGGCAAGAATCTTGTATAGAAGGAATGGAAAAAGAATCTTGTCTGAAAACCAAGAAAAACAAGAACCTGGAAAGAATAGGGCAAGATCGTCGACTAGTGTAGATATTCAAGATATTTTAAAAGTTCAGACAAGAATCTTTTTCCTTTCCTCTCAAAAAGAATCTTGACTAAAGTTCAAGACGAAAAGCATCTTGTCTGATTGGTCATAAAAAACAAGAATCTGAAAAGAATCACAAGATATTTAAAATTTCTTGAAGTTCAGACAAGCTTCTTGTTATTTTTCTTTTACAAGATTTGTATCTAATCTTCAATACCAATAGCACGTGATCTCTTTGTTTAAATATTTATATATACAGACGTGTAATCGTTATTTTTATTCATTTATAACTATGTAGGCGTGAGGTAAGAAGCTTTTCAAGATAATCGATCGTATTGAAAAAGACATCTATCGATTATCTTTTTTCTATTAGGTATACAGACAGGACTGTAACATATGCTACAAATAACAATGACTTTTTACAAAGAATTATATCTAGCATTAACATCTATTTTTTCTTTTCTAGAATTTTTTCTGATGGATATCGATCAAGAAGATTCAAGTAGTAGTTTTTTCTGTAATATTATTCCTGATTTAGGTAATATGGCTGTGTACCTATAACATTCTTTTTTTTAGGAATTAAATAGAATCAGTTTAGGTCATATCTTATGTGATCCTTCAATGAATGCAACAGCTAGATCTTTAGCTCGTGCTGCATACGGTGAAAAAGTATCATTCAACGATTTGGCTCCAGGAGAATTTGATCTTCTTTTGAGTAAGATGAATAAAAAAATTCAATGATCATTTTAGTATTTCAAATCTATATTTTCAAGTTTTTTTTGCTCGAATTCATCAATTAACTGTTGTATCTGTCCGTGTTGACAGTCAATTAATCAAGAACTCTTAACAACAAATGAAGCATGACATCAAGAAGAAAAAATCCTCGATTAGATCATCCGTTACTTTATCAAAACAAGAACTTCGATGATAGTTCAGCGATTATCATCATCGAATAACAAGGAAAATTATGACTACGACAATGAAATTTGAAATATAGCTTTTTGGCGCTCGTTTTTTCTTTTATTTTTGTCTAACTTTTTGCTCTTTATGTGAAATTGATGTATATTTTTATTACTTTTTGTTTACGCTTTTGTGTATTCATTTGAACCTCATAATAAAAATATAATAGTAACGAAGGAAAAGAAGCACATTAATGTAAAAACGCCTTATTTGTATCACAAGAATCAATATGGAACCTCAAGAAAAAGATTCAGGCAATAATTCAAGAAACAAGAATCATGTAAGAATGGCAAGGAAAAAGAATCAGCCAAGAATACAAGAACACAAGAATCTTGTCTGGCGTAGCATTTCTTGCCTCGCCAGGCAAGATTCGGTCTACACGAATCTTGTCAGAAGTTCAAGATCTGTTTTTTCAGGCAAGAATCTTGTGTAGAAGGAATGGCAAAAGAATCTTACCTGATAACCAAGAAAAATAAGAATCTGGAAAGAACGATGTCAAGATCGTCGACTAGTAAAGGTCTTATAGCTGGTTCCGTTCTTCTTTGTAATACTTATTCTTCTGTTGGAGAAGACGAACAAGCAAAAGAAGTTCGACTCAAACAATTACATCAAATAGGAAAGAATAAAATAGTTGGAATAACATGGACTGCACCTAAGGGTGAAGTTGTGGTAAAAAGATTGTATATCAATAAAAAGAAAAATTCAATACAAGTGTTTGTATGTTATAGCGATTTAAGACCCACGACAATAGTCATCCTCAATCGAAAGAAATATACGTTGAAATTGCACGTATGTCTGTTGAACTTAAAGAAAACGGACATCAATATGACTCAAGATGGATAACTCGTGAAATAAATGATGATGAAAGCATAGAGTCAATTTTATGTAGTCATAGTGAAAAATTAGCTATAGCTTTCAATTTTATTCAACAGGCAATACCAAATGTTATTCAAGTTACTAGAAATCTTCGTATATGTGGTGATTGTCGTAAGTTACTTCTTTTTTTATAATGGTTTTTTTAAGTCTTTTGATTGGTTTGTGTAACAGATTCAGCTGTAAAATTGATAGCTAAACTTCGTCAACGTCCAATCATTATTCGTGATACTAATCGCTTTCATCATTTTGATACAAGTGGACAATGTTCTTGTCAAGATCATTTTTAAATTTTATTAAATAAAACTTGAAGGTATAACAATGTGAAATTTTCGATGCAAAAAAAAATGTCACTATGAAGTATTTTCTTCTTCATTATGTACAGTAAATATATTACTAATAAATAAATCTTGTCAAGTGATTATTAGTATACATATAAGAGAAAAATAATTTTAATTACTTCTGAAACTACTAAAAAGTATTTATGGCAACGAGAGGAAAAAAAGCTGACTTCAAGACTTCGAAACTTCACAATACTGTAAAAGAGTTCATGAAACTTCGTAAGGCTTCATGATATTTATGAGACTCAGTGGCGCATCTTGGATTTTTTCTGATCTGGGTCGATTGAATAAAGACTAGCGGTAATCATGATCATAAAGCATAGTATCAGCTTATCTTGAAGACTTATGTGCTAGAAAAAACTGAAAATTTTTTGTTGTTTTTTGGACTAGCGAATATCATTCCCTAAACCTCTGTATATTCACCACTGACAAGAATTCAAAAGATTTGATATACTTTATTCAATTCCATTTTCGTTATGATTGTGAAGCTAAATGAAAAGAAAATTTTCCAAGTAGTAACGTTTCATAATACAGTTGATGTAAAATATTTTTCAAAATCTTCGTTTTGCGAATAAAAATAAAGAGTCTTCGTTTAAATGCCATGATGTATCATCATAAAGGAACCAACAAGCTTCAGTCTCCAAAAATCCTGTCAAGTTCGAAACAATTTCAAAATCTGAAAAACCTTTTCACATCTTTTGAATATAATTAAGTCTGAAAAATTATGAAAAATTTATTCGATAAATCCAATAACTTCTATTAGTTAACTCAGCTGACTTCACAAAATGCAGTAGCCTATTTATTGCTTTTCACTCGCTTAATTGTCATAGCAAATTTCTTCTCAATACATAAGTCACAATTGAAGTCAGCCACGCGTTATCAACTCCTGAGTATCATGTTCAGTTCAAAAAACAAGCTTGACGAGAGCTCATTTTTCAAAATTCTCTGACGCTCAGGACATATAAATAATGTCAAAAACGATAATTAACAACTGATAGTTTTTTATATAGTTATACATGATTCAGTCTTAAAAAAACCATTGATATCTCAAATCTTATGTGCATATATATTTTAATTTAATTATCCTCTTGCATGGCTTGAATTCAATCATGAAGAAGTCTAAAACGTTCAGAAAAATTACTTCATGGTTTACATAGATGAGATACGAAGAACGATAATGAATAACTGAGAGTTTCATTATATGAAAATCTATGATTCAGTTTTATTATGATTTCTTCTATACGATTCTTAGATTTAGAAATAATAGATGTCATATAAAATCATATTTCGATATATGTTGGGCTCTGCAATCAGCCGATTTTTCAACTCGGTTCAAGGCCGACTAGAGATCTAATTAAATAAGCTATCGACAGTGTTATTTAGACACATGTAGACATTGATTGATAGAATTCTCGTAATAGTGAATTTAACCATATCTGTTTTTCAATTACATTTCGATTACTATTAACTGATTGAAACTTTATTTTTCTCTACACATCAATAAAGAAAGAAAATGAATTTCAACAAAGTGAAAATCTTTTTAAGAAGATATGTTTCGTACTCGTTCATTGAGATATATGTTCCTTTTTTTGATTAATCATCAAGAAATCAATGAGCGACATTCGAAGCTTCGTATCACATTTTGCAGTCAAGTGAAACTTGAGTGGTATCTAATTTTTCATTTTCGTATTCGTATATATGTCAAAAATCTATTTTCAAACCTACATTTTACGATATTGTTTAACTTAGGACAAGTCTAATTTTATCAACTAATCGACACAAATTTAATGTTAATCTACCGATATGTAAATCATCACTATAGGCTTCAATAAATATATTACTAAGAAACTCTAGTATGATTTTTCCACGTGATTATCTTGACATACTAATTTATTATTCAAAAACAATATTTCGTATTGCTTTTATACTTAATAAATTATTATAATTTTATTTTTTTTTAGTTAGTTAAAGAAATTGCTTAAAAATTTGTCTATCTTCTCAATCAATGTAAACTGTGGTTATGGGTGTGTCAGTGCGGATACATTTTTCATGTTAAGCTACACTCACATCATTCATGATGCCAGTTTTTCATATGAAAGACAATGAGTGTCACCTCTTGTTTTTTTGGTAAAGTATTATAAAAAAAGACTTCAAAAAAAGGGTACTTAAATTCTCGTTCTCCTTAAAAACTTTTCACTTTGAAAAAAATTTCCTTCCATGTCTCTTGCATTAGACAACATAATATTTTGGATATGGGAAGCTTCAATCATTCTGAGAGATAAGTGTATTTTTCATGAGTATTCAAAAATAAGAATGGTTGTAGCGCTTTTGCGCTATTCTTGGACTAATAGCTGGCATCTATTATCGACTTAGTCGTCTACAAATTCCCATGTGCTATTGTTGAAGAAACACAACATAATGAAAGTTATCATACAGTAGTAAAACTGTCGAAATTTCATTATTATTGAAAAATTTCAATTGAATAATATAAAAAAAGAAAAACAGATGACTAACCTCAAGTAAAAAAGAAAAAAATACAATCATATCATTTTTCCAACTCTCTCACACTCTTTGCTTGACTGTCGTTTTTCTTTTTCCATCATCAAACCACATGTTTCTCTTTGATTTCATCGAAAAATGTTCTTCAAAAGTCAGAGATACATTCTTTCGAAGTGTGAGTGAACAAACGATTAAATTTCATATCTTCATCCATACTCTCCTCATATCAGACATCAAGAAAAAATCATTTGCTAGAATTCCAAAAGTCTACTTAGAATAGATATATGAAATTTAAAACAAATCTATCAGGAAAATTCAGCATGAAAATACTCAAATCTTTTTCTCACTTCATCAATGTCAGAAAGAAAACGCATTAGAGCTGACCTAATCGATAGTTTTTGCTCTAATTTCCTATGACGAATAGAATAATGATCTTCTGAAGTAATTACATCATCTCCTGATAATTCACTTCGAAGAAGTAATCCAGCGTAATAATTTTCTAATTTTATTGTTTAAACTTGCTTTCATAATACTTGATTGATCTTCATCGAAAACTAAAATTGGACATATAGTATAACAGTAGAATGATAAAACATCAAACAATTATGATACATCTTTATATTTTTTGACTAAAAAAGTCTCTTATATAGCGATAGTGTGTTACAATAAAAAAGATAGGCAGATTAATGATGGAAATAAGAAAAGGCAAAATAAAAGAAAAAAATATAAATATGTGCATTTTTATATGATTATAATAACCGGTGAAAAAAACTAACCAAAAGATAACATAGATATTAATTCTTTTCAATGAAATTTAATACATAAAAATTGTTACAAAAGTAAATTTGTTTTTGGAATAGAAGAAATACGCATATTTGGTCGTAATTAAATTTCACATTATCAAGAGATTTGTTTTTGAAAAATATAATTAATGATCAAAATATTGTTGCATAGATAGAGTTTTCGATTTAAATCAATTACACAGTTATTTCTGTTACCTTGAAACATAAGTTCTGCACGTTTCTTTTAATTTTTTAGGAAAGTTTTAGGCGTTATATGTCGTGACTAGGAAGAGATATAAGTCTGCAATTTTTAATGTAAATAAAACTCATAAAGCTCTATTAATTCTAAAAATGTTAGACTTATATCTCTTTCTAGTCACGACATAATATAGGCCTAAAACTTCTATGAAACATTTTAAAAAAAAGGTGCAGAACTTATGTTTCAAGGTAATATAAAAAATTCTTTTGTTTTATCATTTAAGATTACTACTCATTGAAAACAAAAGTTAATTTATAGATATAATTTTTTCTATTATGAACATTCATCATTAGGAAAGCAATATAATGATGATATTTCTTTTTTGAGGAAAATTGACTAATTGAACACTTGTATTTATTCTTTTGTTTTTCGAAAATATTTAAAATATATCTCTGATGAATATTTTTGATCCGAATTCTAAGGACTAATTATATACCAATGAAAATTTTTGTCTAAAGAAAATATATTTACATAGTGATTAATTATTTTGATATATGCTAAGAACTAATGATACACTGATATTTAATGAATAGTACATAATAAAGGATCGTATACTCGTACCTATCTTTGACGTACTTCGAAATCGTATTAAAGTCTGTATTCAACGAGAAGGAAATTAAGTTTCGAAAGGATGAATCTGGATTTGGAAAACATTACTTTCCTTAATGTAAGTAGCTATACTGTGAAGCTTTAGATTAGACTCTTTTTCTAGAAAAAAAAACCGTACTAAAGACCTTGGCAAAATCGTGCATACACTAGGCATGAAAATTTCTAGCCTTCGATGATAAATTCTGAACTTTTTGTACCGATTCTTATACACTACACGTTCAAAAAACACCCTGTTCATATCTAGAGAAGATAAATATTTGCCAATAGTTGAACGAATAGATGTTGATCTTTGTAGTATGGCATTGATAAAATTTCACTTTAAATAACAAAATTGTTTGGTTAGAACAAAAATAAATCTTCTATTGAATGAGCTCAAAACTATATTTTAATACAATTTCAAAGTATACGAAAGATAGAAGGAAAAAAGTCGATCATTGACTTTAGCTACAAATCTGGATATTTTTTAGTAGTTTTCCCAGTGGAAAATACTGCTAATAAAATCACGAGTATTTATTATTATTATTATCGGCGTACAAATTTTATTTCTTTTTTATGCCTTCACTGCTTGCAGGATAATCTAATGACAATGATTCAATTTCTTTAATCAAATTCAAGAAAATAATCTGCTTAATTGATCATTATTGATTATTTCATTTATAATCTGATCTTCATCGAAAATATATTTCAATCTAGCATAAATAAAATTAGCCCCGTATTCGACTTTTTCTTGTCTTGATTGTTTTCCTAACTTGTGTTAACTCTCAATTTGGTTATTTGATAAGCAGAATTTTTTTAACTTA